GCATTCTCTCTTTGTAATTTTCAATGAGTATCAGGAAAGCAATGTGAGAGTTCCTTCTAAATGTAGAGTAAATAACTTTCAAAATGTTTGATATTAAGCAGAGTGGGGTAGCGGAAGGAAAACGGGTAATTATATCCCTATCAAGACTATGGATACCAAAAATATAAATATTCATGTGTAAAGTAATGAAAACCTAGGGAAATCAAATGATTGATGTGTCAGACTATAAAACCATGTGTGACTTTTTCCCCCCAAATTTTATCATTATCATTATATAAGTATCTTTCCAATCTAAAAATATATTGACTGTCATCACTGCTACCTACATCCTCCACAGATGCACAATGTTAAAGATTTATAAAGTTAGAGGGAAGCTCAAGAACTCTTTGGTTATTACACCCTTCTTTTGCCTAAAGAGAGTGGTTGAATCAAATATTTGAAAGTATGCAAAAACACTATTGGAAATACTATATCATCACAAGGCAATGTTAGTGAATATTTGTATGCCTGATATATACATTTGTTCATTAGAAAGTACATTTCATAGGTCATTTCAAAGCTGTGAAACCAGGATCTCTTGACACTGTGATTGAACATTGACATTCTCCATAGGATGCCATAGTCCTACTTAATAATGCTGTGCGCTCCTAAGGTAACGTAAGACGTAGTCACGCATAACCACTGCAGATCACTCATAATAATCCATGATTGGTCATATGGAGAAACAAATACATGTCTGAAATTTTAACCAAAACAAAAATACATTTAAGATCAATTAACCTTTGAAAAGATTGATAAAATAAATTCATCCCTTAGAGGAGTGCTCAGGATAAAAAGAGAGAAAATGTCAACTATCGATATCAGGAATGAAAAGGGGGACATCATTAAAGATCCTACAGACATTAAAAGAATAATAAGAGCACATTAGTGCAATTTTATGCCTATATATGGCAACTTAAATTAAATGAACTAATTTACTGAAAAACGTAATTTATCAAAACTGACACAGGAATAAATAGAAACTCTAAATAGCTCTCAAGGTATTAAATACATTGAATTCATAATAAAATACTTTACTATAGGATAAAACTCTAGGCTCATGCTTTCGATGATAAATTCTATCAAATATTTGAAAAAGAAATAATATAAATTAACACAAATTCTTTCAGAAAACAGGAGAGAAAATTTCCTACTTAGGAAGCTATCTTTACATCGATATCAAAATCTAACAAAGATATTATAAGAAAAAAATTATACAGCAGTGTATTGTCCATAAACTTAATTACAAAAGTCCTAAGCAAAATATTAACAAATAGAATACAGCTCTGTGTAAAAAAGGACAATGCACCATGACTGAGGAGAGTTGTCCTAGAAATAGAAAACTGGTTTAACATTTGAAAATCACTTGGAAGTCATGATATCCACAGAATAAAGGAGAAAAATACATAATCTGTTCAATAAATGGAGAAAAAAGCACTTGACAAAATTCAAGACCCTATTTATGATAAAATCACCCACAAACGAAGAATAGAAGGGAATCTCTTCAATGTGATAAAGGATATCTATTAAAAGCTATACTTAACATTACACTTAATGGTGAAACATCACAACTTCCCCCATAAGGCAGAATAACCTCTCTTACCATTTCTATTCAACAGTGTTCTGAATTCTTTACCTGTTCAATAAATCAAGAAGCAAAAAAGCTATAACAATTGTAAAAGAAAAAGTGAGGTTTAGTTTTTGCAGACCTCATGATTATGTATACAGAAAATCTCACTGAATTCACACACACACAAAAAAATAGAACTGACATATAAATTTAGCCAAATCACAGGATATAAGGTCAATATGCAAATATCAATTATATATCTCATATTCATGTACATTTTGGAAATGACATAAACTTTAAACAAATTTCATGTAATATTATCAAAAACATCAGATAAATCTAATAATGTGTAAGACCTCTACTCTGAAAACTGCAAAGCAATGCTAAGAGAAACTAAAGAGGATGAAAATAAATGGACAAATGTACCATGTTCATGAATCAGTTAACTAAATCTGGCTAAAATATCAATTCTTCCGAAACCAACCTATGAATTCAACTGTAATCCCATCCAAATTAAATTAACAAGTTGAATCTAAATGTATGTAGAAATGCAAAAGAAGAATTAAAAAACCTTTATAAAAGATGAAAGAAGTTGGAAGACTTTCCTTACCTGATTTTAAGATTTATTTTGTGATAAAAATGAAGACAATGGAATATTAGCTTAAGGACAGACACACAGATCAATGGAACAGAATATACAGTCCAGAAATAGACTGACTTATGTGTTCAATAGATTTTGACTAAGATGCCAAGGTAATTTAATTTGCTAAGAATAATTGTTCCAACAAATGGTGCTGGGACAGTTGGATATTCATCTGCACAAAAAATGAACCTTGATCTTAACCTTACCTCATACACAAAAGCTAACTCACTTTAGATCACAGACCTGCAAGTAAAAGCTAAAATAATAAAACTCTGGGAGGAAACATAAGAGAAAATATTTTTGTTTATGCATAGGCAAAGATGTCCTAGGACATAAAACCCCCAACTGTAAAGGAAAAGAAATCATAAATGGACTTCAAATTAAGAATGCCTGCTCTTTGAAAGACCTCATTAAGAAAATGAAAAAGCAACCTGCAAATGGAAGAAAATCTTTCCATACCTGGCATGGTTCTTCTATCCAAAATACACTTTTAAAAATGCAATTCAGTAAAAAGGCCAACACAAATTAGAAAATATGCCTCAGCAATTATACTCTTAGGTATTTAGCCTAAGAGAAATGAAAGATTAATTATATACCAAGATTTGTACATGAATATTCATAGCAGCCTTATTCATAATCACCTACAATTGGAAACAACCCAAATCATCCATCTATAGGAGAATGGATAAACAAAGGGTAAATTATTACTATTAAGGAATGCCACTGAGCAATAGATTTTGTGATATACATGAAACATGCAAGATCATAAAAGCGTTATGTTGAACAAAAGAAACTAGATATAAAAAATACATGCTAGAGTGATTATAATTATAACATCTACTTTTATAGGTTACATTTCTATTTCTATTTGCTATAACTTAATGTGTAATGATAGAACTTACAAAGTGGTTACTTTGTTGGGAACACAATGAAACTTTCTGGAAGGAAGAAAACATTGGAGGTGTTTTTGGTAGAGGTTCCTTTTGTTTCTACAACTGACGAAATTTACCAAACTGAACACTTTCGATGTGTACATTTTATTGTACATAAGTTCTATTTCAATTTAAAAACATAATTATTTAGAACCAATTAACTTTCAGGGTGTATTCTATATCAGAGAATTGTAGAAGTCTTTCTGATTGCCAATTTTTGCCTCACAAGCCTTTTATTGTTTACTTTCTTCCCAGTGGCTACATGGACTATATACTCTTTGAGACAGGAATCTTCTTGGTATTTTGCACACCTAACAGCATCTGATTCATAACGCGTGTACCACACCTCTGTTGTTATAAAGCTAACCTCAAGATAGATATTATGTTAGCATTATGGATATTATTATTATTGTTAACAAGTGGATATATCATTTAATTTGCAGCCAATATAAGAGTCCAGTAACTGATAAGATCTGTCAAGATGTTAAGCATGTATTTGCTCAATTCAAAGGACTAAAATATGTCAGGATGCCTATGATTAGGACCCTACATCTGCCACTTTAAATAGGAAGACACAGAAGTCCCTGAATCTGAGGTTCCTTATCTATAAAATGAGCATAATACAAGTATCGCCCTCATAAGAGTTACTGTGAGGATTAAATAATAATTGTAAAAGTCTTAGAAACACTTATATAGCTAATATATAAATATTAACTATCATTATTATTTAAGATCCACTTTTATGTACAGGTAATGCACTGAAAATATGAGCCACTGGAATACATTTGGAATACATTTTTAAAACTTTCCATCAACAATTATAGGCACTATGATGAAGCACACAATCCTCATTTCTTTTTTGTCAATGTTTTGAAAATGGGTATTAAATTAACTCAAACTGCAGGAGCAAAGGATTAAAGAGTAGCTCATTCTATCTAAACTACATTCTTTTTTTTTTTTTTTTTTGGGACGGAGTCTCTCTCTGTCTTCCAGGCTGGAGTGCAGTGGCCGGATCTCGGCTCACTGCAAGCTCCGCCTCCCGGGTTCACGCCATTCTCCTGCCTCAGCCTCCCGAGTAGCTGGGACTACAGGCGCCTATCACCACACCCGCTAATCTTTTCTTTTTTTAATTTTGCATTTTTTTAGTAGAGATGGGGTTTCACTGTGTTAGCCAGGATGGTTTCGATCTCCTGATCTCGTGATCTGCCTGCCTCGGCCTCCCAAAGTTCTGGGATTAGGGGCATGAGCCACCGCGCCCAGCCTAAACTACATTCTTCAAAGGTATTATTTAAGGAAGATGTATTCTTTGCAGAACCTTTAAAAATCCATTGTGTTCAACACATAGTTATTGAGTACCTACTGTAATGTGTTTCCCTTAAAGCAAAATATCACATTAATTAATTCAATGTTGCCTGTACATGTGTGTGTACATGGCAAAGGTGGAATTTTGTAAAACACTAGCCTCCACTACAGGCTTATTTCCCAAATCTGCAAAACTCAGCTATTCTGGAAGAGGGCTGGTGGGCTAGGGGAGAAGTCCAATATCATAATCAGGGAAGTACCTATTGATCTCAGAGGCTTGAGGAAGATAGGCCCATTTTCTCCGCCCACAGAATCATCAGCATCCTGAGCCACCCCACTGAGAGATGGGTCTAACCCCTCAGGTGTTTTTCAGGGAAGAAAAGCCACCTGGATGAAATTCCACACCTAGACTAGAGGACCTTGTTTAGTACTCCCCCTTTTATTCATTTATTTGGCTTTAAAGAACTACTACATGATCTTGCAACCGAAGAGGAGGAAAGTAAAACCAAAATACCATGGTCTTGATCTGGTGCTTCCAAGTTGTAACCGTACCCCAGCAGCGTGCGCACGGCCTCGCGGAGGCTGTCCTTGTTGGATTTCTTGGTTCGGTCATCCAGAAGAGTGTAAGGAACAAGGCGAGGATTTCTTCTGTTCTTTACGTCCTGCAGGGAAAAATTGGGTGCAGATGTCTAAGCAACACCAAGGGCTTTTAAAAATGAATAGCTACCAAATACATCAAACTTAAAATTCCATGAGAAAACCTGACCCTTCCACAATCCCTGCGTTTTCCCAGGCTGCAAAGTTACCAAAACACTATCAATATAAAAGATTCAATCAAATGAATAAGCACCTGTATGGAAAGCAAGCCCTTTCCACGAGAAGGAAAAACAACAATAACAAAAAAATAGTTTCAGTGATCTCTAACCACTTCCATCTGCCACGTTCACATGGCAAAGGACAATAGTAGAGAACACCCAATTTGCAAGTACAGTTCATGGACAGGGTTTTATTCCAAGAAGAGCCAAATGAGTACTGGTCCCCCCCCTCAATGGTTTTCAGTCAATGAAGAACTTAAGGCTGCTTTCCCTTCTTCAGAAAAATTCCAGTGTGTTATGGATCCCCCTTCTATGTCCCTAATTGAAAAATATGCATTGGGTTGAATCCATCAACCAGTGAAACCCAGCAATGCCAGGGGCACTAAAATGACTATAAAACTCATAACTTGTCTATTGTAAAAGAGGCTCCAATGTTAAACTGTGGTTAAAATGTGTTGACACACACAGAGAGAGAGCGGGCTATCTTACTATCTTGGCAAAAGGATGCTTAATATCAGAGTACAGAACTCAATTCCATGTGATGGGGGAGATGCATCAACTCCTACAAGTGTGTAGGGCAATGCCACTTTGCAAGTTACTTCTTTCCATTCACTCCCTGAGACCAGTTGCAGTATTTGCTCAAGTTTCCACATTTCAAGAAGTATAATCAATTCTCAATACTTTAATGTAAACAGGCATTGGGAGGCTGTGGATGTTCCCACCACACCTCCCAAGGGTTTAAAAAAAAAAAAAAAAAAAAAAAAAAAAACCTATGGAATCAGACAGGTGTTGTTCTGGTAAACCAGAGAATAAATACTGTGGTGGTGGTGGTGTTGTTGTTTTGTTGTTGTGTTGTTATTATTTGGAAACAGAATCTCACTGCAGCCTCGACCTCCTGGGCTCAAGCCATCCTCCCACCTCAGCCCCCTGAGTAGCTGGGACTACACGCATGTGCACCATGCCCAGCTAATTTTTTAATTTTTCGTAGAGACAGTCTCTCACTATGTTGCCCAGGCTAGTCTCAAACTCCCAGGCTCAAGCAGTCCTCCCACCTTAGCCTCCCAAAGTGCTGGGATTACAAGTGTGAGCCACCACGCCCAGCCAGAAATACTGTTTTGTCTTGTCTTGTCTTCTTCTCCTCTTTCAGGCAAATTAGTACTGAATACCTAATCCTGAATATCTTAATATTCAAATACCTGAATATCTACTGACGCCTGGAGCAAAATGATCGGCAACAGTAACTCAGTGGCGAAACCGGAACTGATGCGAGGCTGTTTATGGTCTTTACCCCTCTTGGTATGACCCTGCCTCCCTTGTGCAGAATGAATTGCAATTTGAAGTCAGCTGCCCTACCAAGGTTGTTATGTACATACATGCAATATATCCTCAAATCACCATTCTGAAAACCGAATAAAAAGACTGAATTCTGAAATGTATGTGGCCCCAGGGGTTATGAATAAGGAATGGTGCACCCATTTTATTATCATTTTATCCCAATGTTCTTACATTTCAAAAGTTTCTCCTAAAACACAGTCTCAGAGAGAGAAATACCACAAAACCATATTATAAGTCACCAATGTAATATTATATTATTCATCATGTGCCTCACATGTGTTCGCTATTACAGTCAGAGCTAACCTCATGTAAGTTCTTCAGTCTAGCACTAAACAGGTGTTTTAGTCCAAATGTGCACTGTGTGTGATCTATATGATACGAGTTCTAAAATAGTCATTATTTAATCCTTCCTGTTAAAAATTATGCTAATTCCCACTTAAGGAAGTCTCAGACCAAATGCTATGGAGCTCATTCCCACGTACCTGCTGGATGCCGTAAGTCCAGCCCTGCCGGATTCGATCCCGCGCCCACACATTGTGTGCATTTTCTGCCAACTTGTCCACCATTGCTTCTTGAGACGGGGTGAGTTTGATAAAGCTCAGGTCCATAGGGGCGGGCTTGTATCCACTTGTCAGCTGGTAACTACAAATCAGAGACAAAGACATTTCTATATAATTGGCCTTTTCATAAAAATCCCTGTAAACATCATTTTCTGGCCCTACCTCATTGCTGTTGTCCCATAAACCACAGTGGTAACCACTGGTGAAGTACCAGACAGCAAGCCTGGGTTCCTTTCACTTTAGCTAATAACTGATCAGAAGGAAAAGCCACATAATCTTTGTGTTTTCATTTTTATACCAATAAGACAGAAATGAGACAACTTACCTGTCTCTCAAAGATGAAAAGAACCTGTCATTGTTTGTGTTCCTAATAGCTGAAGCTTTTGTATAGTCTAAATCAAAATATTGGTTACTTATTGAAATATGTTAGAGATTTCTCTTCCTGTGAAGTCCTCATTTTTCTTCAACTGTTAAATGTTAGATTAATGTAATATTTATTTCATAAATCAGTGTATCCTTCAGATACTATCTATTTCTTATTCTACAGGGAAATTTAAATGTATTTGTAATTTATTTGCTTATTGCCGTTCCTAGCTACATTATTTAGGAAGCCTTTAAATAAGATAGAGACTAGAAAGTAAAGAAAATCTCAGTTATATAATCATCTAAAATCTGATTGCATTTTATTTCCCTAGAGTTCGAGGATCTCTTAGCAGAGACTGCTTCTATATTCTAGGCTGGAGAGAGAAGGTACTATCATAATAAAACAGGTACACGTTTTAATTGTTGGAAGAAATACAAAGTTGAAAATATTAACTTTTCAACCCACACATAGAAGGGCAATAGTACTGCCCTGCCCCACACAGAAACACAGTGTTTCATTCTATTTAACTACTGAGATTGGCACAAAGCCTATTTTATAACTGCTTTTCTTCCATTCTTCTGTCACTGTTGTATTCCCCATTATTGACTACACCTTCAGGTCAGGATCTGTTTCTGATTCACTTTTCTAACTGCCATTATCCTCAAAACAGTTCCCAGCAGATAACAGCCTTTTCATATATAGTTGTTGAAATAATTAATTTTATTTACCAAATTAACATAAACGTAAATGCATCTTCAACTCAAGAACATTCACTAGGTAATTATGCTAAGTTACAAAATGAATTATTAAAACTTGAGAAAAGGCTCTTAAAAATACATGTGAGAAAAGGCTGGGCACTGTGGCTCACGCCTGTAATCCCAGCACTTTGGGAGGCCAATGTGGGTAGATCACATGAGGCCAGGAGTTCGAGACCAGCCTGGCCAACATGGTGAAACCCAGTCTCTACTAAAAATACAAAGGTTAGCCAGGCTTGGTGGCGGGTGCCTGTAATCCCAGCTATTTGAGAGGCTGAGGCAGGAGAATCGCTTAAACCCAAGAGGCAGAGACTGCCGTGAGCAGAGATCACGCCACTGCTCTCCAGTCTGGGTGACAGAGCAAGACTCCATCTCAAAATAAATAAATAAATAAATGCTGTTGAAAATAAACTACAAATTCTCTTAAAAATAAACTACTACTCTGGGCTATGACTGGCATCATTACAAGGCAAGCTCCTTGAAAGCAGGGAGTTTATCCATTTTATTCGCAGTGACCCCCCAGCACCTAGAATAGTGACCAACACATGATAGGCATTCAGTAAAAATTTGTTTAATGAATTAATATATTACAGCAATAAATAACTTTGTTTAAGGTTGAATACAGTTGGCTTTAGCTTAATTACCTCTATTTTACTATAATACATCCCATATATTATAAGTAATTTATCTATAGGCAGGTGTGGTAGCTCACTCCTGTAATCCCAGCAGTTTGGGAGGCCAAGACAGGTGGATTGCTTAGGGCCAGGAGTTCAAGACCAGCCTGGCCAATATGGCAAAATCTCATCTCTACTAAAAAACACAAAAAAATTAGCTGGGCAAGGTGGTGCACACCTGTAATCCCAGCTACTTGGGAGGCTGAGGCACAAGAATCGCTTGAACATGGAAAGTGGAGGTTGCAGTGAGCTGAGATTGTGCCACTGCACTCTGGCCTGGGTGACAGGGCAAGACTCTGTCTCAAAAAAAAAAAAAAAAAAGTAATTTGTCTATAGACAAAAAAAAGTAATTTTTCTGTAGACAAAAGCTTTACAAATGTTTTGTTTTGAGTAGATTATAACAATTAGGACAAATTACTGGTCTATGTCTTTCAATTTACATTCATAAGTTAAATTTATGGACATTAAATTTTGTTCCATTTTAAATAAAAACTCTTGTATGGGTAATTAACTGTAGTTTTTGTTTTTTAATAAAGAAGCCATGTGGGAATTTTTTTTAACAACTCATATAAATCATGGTATTTGACAGATTTCTGACATTTAAATAGGCAAATCTATAAACTGTAATCACAGCTGAAGATGTAAGTTCTTATTTGGAAAGTATTTTCTTTTATTTTAGAATATATATAGATATATTTATGTAATTAAATTTAAAAAACCCAAAACATTAATATATATATTTTACATATTATATATTTATGTTTTTGATTTTTATTTTTGTTGTTTTTTGAGGCAAGGTCTCTCTTTGTTGCCCAGGCTGGTCTTCAACCCCTGGCCTCAAGCAATTCTCCTGCCTCAGCCTCCCAAACTGCTGAGATTACAGGCATGAGCCACCACTCCTGACCTGGAAAGTATTTTTTTTTTTTAATTTTTCAAGAAAAAGCTCCCAATACATTTCAAATGCACCAACAGGTAATCAAGCTAGCATAGTCTAGTTTCCAAGTTCAACAGTTTGCTGGAGGCAGCCTCAGGGTACATGATGAAGAGCCTAGTCTTCTGTACTTCCTTACCTCCCCACAACTACTTCTCACTACCCACAACTGGCCCATGGTCACCCAGCACAAGCCAGCACACAATCTTCTTTCACTTTCTAACAGCCTTGATCCCATCTAGCAGCCACAGAGGCCGTACACATGCTGAAGTTTCGATATCCACCTGTGAATCATTGATTGGAACCATTGCTACCCTCATTAGGGATACATGCATTTCCAAAGAGGAGTGATACTTTCTGGAAACCAATTTTTAATGGTAGACTTTCTAGCAATATCTCATGGAACGAGGAACTACTTTTGAAAGGCGGAAGGTGGGAAGGAGGTCCTCCCCCATAAAAACTTATAGACAAGTTCTACTAATGTATGAAGTTGGATAATACTGACATAATCATTCCTCTTTATTTTCTATTTTTTTTCTTCCCATGCAGATTTCTTCTAGAATTGCTTTAATCTGTGATCTCAATGAAAACTTACGGAGATGCATTTGCATCTGTTGAAGTAGTCTGACAATTTGTTCACGTTTATTTTCAGAGGTAAACTATAACTTATTTTACTTTCTTTTCTCTATACCCTTGTACAAAAAAGGATTTGAAGCTTAGAATTGTTTTGTTAATGGCTAATAATCCCGTCCAAATTATAGTTACAAACTCTCACTTCACCTGAACCTTTTTATTTCCACCTCTTTTGAACAACAAATCATTTGTACAGTAAAAATAAATATGAATATCTATGAAATTCATGGACTTGAGCCAACTATAATGGATAAAACTATTGATATCATGAATGTTTCACCAATATGAATTAATGGTAACAGCAATAATTTATAAAACTATTTTTCTGTGTGTAGTACATTCTGACAAAGAAACTAAGAATCAAATCGTTATATCAAAATGAGATATATTTAAAAGTAAATAAGTGTACTTTGACAAACAATGTTCATTTCACCTTATTAATACAATTTAATTAGGTACACAAAGGACAACCAACTGCTAATATGAATTATTACCTTTTTGTGGTTAAAAATAAACAAAGCCTTTGAATCAAATGTAATTCACATGAATCAGAAGCTGAATAGTTTCAAGTAAAATTTCAGATTGATTTCTAAAAAGTTAAAGTAAATAAAAAAATACTAAAATGACTCTTAGTAAAATTTTATAGCCACCAAAATGGGAAAAAGTCATATTAGTATATTAATACAAAAAAACATATTGCTCATATTAAGATATCTCCGTATTACATTCTACTTTCTCAAACATCATGAGAAACTTCTGCCATAATCAGCTAACAGATTTTTTTCTCCTCCAATTTATTTGTTTAATAGATATACGTAGCTTTTACCTCCTTTCTTTACCATGTACGTTCTCTGTGCCATCAGTCATCCTGTAAAATTAGCTTATGAGGAATATATATGAAGTTAAACAAATGAGTTAATATGCTCACTTTACAAAATATCAACATACTTTTATAGTCATTAGCTCTTAGTTTTATTTTGGCAACTACATACTTTAATAAAATAAAAAAGAATAAAACAACGACATTGAGAGGAATAAAATGCCTAACAGTTTAGGCTTTGCTTTCCTGATAGCAAAAATTTTTTTTAAAATACCTCTGAAAACAAAACAAAACAACAAAGATCCCGGCCAACTGTCGATTCTATTTGCATCAAATCACCAAAGATATAAACAAAACATTGACAGTGTTTGGCTGCACTGAGGAATTGTCACGTTAAGTTGCAGCTCAGTTTTTGCTTCATTCCCATCTGACCCACATTTTTCCTAAGCAGGTATTCCAGATGAGCCTTTGAAACGAGGGCTCAGTGTAATATAATTAAAGGGCCAATTAAAGTGATTTAACAAAAACAAAGCAGAATACCAAAAACAGTAAGCACCAATATTTTGTTTTTTTTAAGCCACCCCCACCTCCCAAGCTTACTTGTTTAATATGAATCAAGTTAAATGAAGCATGGAAATCATTATATTGTGAAAGATGTACGCTAAACATGTAAAGGCTACAGCCAAGTTCAGGGAGTGTTAGCTGTAAATTTCAAAGCCAAATCAGTCCTCCAAGTACCTTGGAACAAATGGGAAATCTCAGATGACTGCACACCAGAGACATTAAGAGCAAGTTTTGCTGAAAGCACATCTACTAGAAATGAATGCTAGGCTGACATTTTCACAGAAAACGTATGGAGAATATTCAGAATCATTCTCCAGAAAACAAATACAGAAGGATTAATT